TGATCACAGGCAGCTGGCTCCGCGCCAGCAGCTTCCAATGCTGAATATTCATGCCCCAACTTCACCGCTTTTCAATTAAACATAATAAAGTAAATTCCTGTCAAAAGTGTATTTCCCACTCACAGACCATCTTTCCTCCCCTCTCTGTCTGGCACGCAGGGGGAGAATGGTTGTGGTCACCGTCCCTGGAAGACAGCAGACAGAACCAGCAGGGCAGAGAGTGGCTGGGGGCTAGCGGCCAGCAACCACTGGCATTGTTCCGAGAGAGGAGGGTAGCTCTGCCCAGGGGACCATGTCCAGGAGTCCCCAAGTGGAGGTCCTCAGGGCATTGTTATTTTATAGCTGAAGGACAGTGACCCAGAAAAGTGGAGGGGACACTAACATACTAGTGACTCCTAGGCAGCCATTGAAGATCCTGCTTAGAGAAAAAGACAGAAGGGTGTCACTGGGCAATGGGAGGGGACAAGCCTGTACAGGAGCTGGAAACGGTGGGGTACGTGGGGAGACCTACATGGGGGCTAGCCGGGGCTTAGGAACAGGACCTGGTAACATAGGGGAAAGAAACTCCCAATCTGCTAGATGTCCGATGCGAGCTCATGTTCTCTAAAATCAAAGAGTGAGTTCCAGGAACAATGGAGGTTAAGAGCAGGATATATTTATTGGGGAAAGAAAGCTTCTATCTCAGAGAGAGACAGAAGAGGACCCGAGTGGGTTGCTAGGACCCTGCCTTTTCTAGGGATTTATATAGAGCAAAACCACAAGGTGAGCCAGGTCCAAGGTGGGGGAGAAAGGGAAATCACGAGGTGGGCATGAGGTGGGACAAAATTACGGTCAACCAATACGATTATGAGCATAATTGCTCAGGAAGTATTGATTAGATGAGGACCAAATGGGGAAGCAAGTCACATAGCAAGCGGGCGTGAAACAGGACAGGGGCTCTGCCTGGAGGGGGCTGGGTCAGTGGTTCTTCCTGGCTTTCCCAAGGTGATGGGACGCCTATTTAGAATATCAGTCCCTGCTGTTTATCCTTAGGGGAAGTAGATGGTGCATTCATTTTATCTTTTGTGTTGAGGCCTGCCCCTTGTGGAGGTGTCTTTGTCTCCCCCACATTTGCAATGTATCACGTCTTCTGCATTGGCTCCTTCGAGGGCCTATCCCTGTCTGACTGCCTGCAATATTTCTACCTAACTTAGCTGTCTATAACACTGGGGCCCCGCGGGCTGGGTTGGGCAGTCTCAAGAGGGAGGTCCAAGGACTCAGGCAGGGGCTCAGAGATATCCAGGGATGCTAGGAATGAGCAGAGAGGCCCCAGCAGGGACCACAGCAGGGACAGAGGCTAAACCCCTCTTGTCATTCCACCACGGAACGTTGTTGTCCTAAGAACAAAGATCCCAGACTGTCACGGAAACTTGCAAGCCTGGAATCTTCATGCAAAGCTGTGTGGGACAGAGGAGCGCAGGCAGTGAGGTGGTCAGGCCACCACCCTGGAGTCACCCAGCTTCTTGTGTTCTGAAAAGGGGTGTCCCATGAGACCTGCAGCAGACAGCCCCCCACCTGGGCCCCACAGAGCGTGCCTGTGATGAGGGCTTCTCCCCAGAGCAGGGCCAAGGCCTCAGCAGTGGCTGTTTCCTGCCAAAGCTCGGCTGCAGCCTTCTCCCCTTCTCTTTACAGCAGGAGCAGAAAACACTGTCCAAGCACTGCGGGCCAACAGGAAGGGCACTGAAGTGACCTCAGAGGGTGGGTCAGTGGGAGGGTTCTTCTGGCTATATATCAGGCCCGGAAACCCCCCACACCTGTCCTGCACAACCACCAGCCTGTGAGAAGGTCAAGGGCCAGGACCAGGCCTCTCCCGGTGTACACAGCCTCACGCCTGCCCCCACCTACCACGACCAGTATAGACTCTCCCTGCCATCACCTTTGCTGTTCCCTCTACCAGTGCAAAATCATGGCGCGGAAGGTCGGCACTCTGCGCCACGCCCCAGGGAGAGGGACGGGGCCGCCAGCCTCCGGAGAGCAGACAGCCCTGTCCCCCAGCGCCCTCTGTCGGCCTTAGGGGGAATGGCAATGGCTGTGCCCGAAGGTAGCGGCTACACAGGCGTAAGCAGATGCGCCCGCTTCACACCAGCACAGAGCCCACATGTGTGTCCATCGACGCACACTCAGACCCGTGCTCACTCACACAGCCCCTGCTTCCAGGGAACAGAGGCACAGAGGAGCATCTCTGGGGGTCCAGGCCTGGCAGGAGAGATGACCCAACCCAAGTCCCTGTCCTTGCCCAGGAGGTCCTAGCTGCCCAAGAAACCACTGCAGGGCTCCATAAACCCAGGAAATCAGAGCTCAGGGCCACAGGTACCGGGTCCAAGAGGCAGGGTTGTCCCCGCAATGCCCCGGTTGGCTCTGTGCCTGGTACCGGGTTGGGGGTGGGGCTCCTGGCCCGATGGCTCCACACTGGGCCCAGAAGTTGGGCCAATCTGCTTCTCACCACTCATTCCAGGGGATGAAGGCTATGCTCAGACCCTCTTAGCTCAAATGCAGACCAGGAGCCCCTGCAATCTGCCGCTTTGCTGCCCCTCCCCACCCAGCTCTTAGATGCACAGCCATCCTTGGACGGCCACAGAACCTCGCCCGGCAGCTGCTCCCGGGGCCTGGGTCTGAGCTAGAGGCAGTGGTCAGACCTACTGCCCAACAAACTGTGAAGGTGAGGGAGCCACACCTTTGAGATGCTACTTTGTGGGGATTGGCCTCTCTCAGTGGGTCTTGTCCCAGACTTGGGGTCATGCTGAGTGCAGGGGTCTCTCCCACCCTCCAGCGCTGCCCTGTGGGGTGAGGCAGAGTCTGGGCCTGTCTGCAGCTGATAACAGATACGCAGACCATGGCCTGCAGGAGCTGGGCACTGGGCTGTCCCTTCTGCACCACCCGCACCTCCCAGCAGGGCTCTGGTCTAGGGTGATAGTCCAGGCGGAGGAGTGTGAGGGGGAGACTGGGCCCTGCTGCACCTCAGCCTGTGCCCCAAACCCCTGCCAAAACTTTCTCCCAGCCTCTGCTCTTCAAGGAAATGACAGAAGCAAGACAGATGCAGGTCCAGAGGCCTGGGCCCAGTCGTTCTGGGAGACCCAGCAGTGTACACTGGAGTCTGAGGTCCTGGGTGTATCCAGCAGGGCCAGCCCACATGGAGCACCCTGCACGGCTTCAGGGGGCAAGGAGAGCCCAGACAACTCAGAGCGCTGGGAGAAGCCATTTTCTCTCTTGCTCAAAGATTTCCCACCTGGCTGTGGGTGAGAGACAAAGGCATCCCATTGCACACCCATGTGCCCCCCAGCATGGTTCCCGAGAGCCCAGAGGAAGCAACCCAGATGTGCATCAGCGGATAGGTAGATGGATAAAGAAAATGTGGCCGTCCCTACAATGGAATATCATCCAGCCTCAAGGAGGAAGGGAATCCTGACACCTGTTACAGCACAGGTGAACTTGAGGACCTTATGCAGAGCAAAGGAGGGACAGCCTGTGACATTTGCTCACTTGCATGAGGTCCCTAGAGGAGTCAGGTTCATAGAGGCCAAGCAGCACGGGAGGTGCTGGGGTGGGGGCAGGGGTTAATAGTTAACGGCAATGTGTTTCACAAGATGACAAAGTGCCGAGGGAGGACGGAGCGACGGTTGCACAATGTAAATGTGCTTCGTGCTGCCGAGCTGCTCGCCTACGGTTAAGATGCCAAGTTTTGTTTCCTGTATATTTTGCCACAAGAAGAAGGGAGAGGGGAACTGATGTGGAGAGGCAGCCTCTGTCCTGATGTGTGCAGGAGTGGCCTCCTTGGAGGACTCCCCAACCTCCGGACCTTGTGTGTGGAGGCATCTGGAGCCCGGCCGGAGGCTCCCGGAAGCCCCCAGCAGAGCCAGCTTGTACCGCACCCGGAGAAGGGGTCAGGCCTGCTTGCCCAGGCCAGGCTCCTGTCCTAACCAAACACATCCTGCAAGATTCTTTTTGATCAAGACTTGAGACCATGGGTGCTATGGTTTGTGTCTAGATGTCCCCCAAAAGCCTCATGCAGTCATGGGGCGGGCTCCTAGTTTTTGACTGACTCATTGTCCAATTGTATTATGGGTGTGAGTGCTACACCCACCCTGCACTGGGTGTAGCAGGATACACTGGGTGTAGCAGGGTGGGTGCCCTGCATGCAATATAAGGGAGGGAATGAGGCTTGCTTTCTGCTGCTCCTCCCTTTTGCTCTTGTTGCTTTTGCTGTTTTCCACTGCCATGAACTATTGCCCTCTGCCATGTGCCACTCTGCCTTGGAGCCAGCCAAGTACGGACTAAAACCTCCACAAACTGTGAGCTAAATAAACCTTTCGTTCCTTAGTTTTGGGCATCAGGTATTTTGCCCCAGCAATGAGAGAAAAGTAACCAAGACCCCAGGAAAAATGTGTGCTTACATGAAAAATGATCCCTGCCCTGTTTGAGCACACGGGTTGTCTAGTTCCAGGATGTCGTCTGGCCCTGGAAAGCTGTGTGCACAGCCCACAGCAGCTGACAGTTCTCATCTACACAGGAAATGTCTGCGGAGGGGGATCGGCTACCACCAGCAGTGGCCACGACAGGACCTCAGCGTCCTGATCTAGGGATTCTCCTTTGACCTGGTTCTGACTCCCGCTGGTTTCATCATGAATGGGATACGTAATTTAACACATATTTATTCTTAAAAAGCAAACGTCAGCCATGCTTGGTGTCTCAACCTATAATCCCAGGACACTGGAAGGCAGGAGGACGACAAGTTCCAGCCCAGCCTGGACAGTTCAGGGAGAACCTACCTCAAAATAAAATATAACAAAGGGGGATGGGGATTTAGCTCAGCAGCAAAGCGCCTGCCTGGCAAGCGCAAGGTTGTGAGTTCGGTTCCCGGTACTGGAGAAAAACCCAAAAAATAAAATAAAATAAAATATAACAAAGTGCTGAGGATGTAGTGCAAATCCTCAGTTTTTATAAAGTGTTTAAAAATAGCAATCTTCTTTTCAAATACTTTAATAGTTATTTAAATAGAGCTTTGGTGTAACTTTCCTTGTTTTTATAGTTTCTTTTCTCTACATATACATATTCACCTTGCAGCACCTACTAGTTCATGCAATCATCGGCTCCTCCTCGGGGTATAAAAAGGGAGGTAGAAGGATAAGGCCAGAAAGCAGGGTCCACCTTGTTCTGGGGTGCATGATGCACCACCAGGGAAGTGCTGATGCTCCCTTGACAGCAGGGGTGCCTGGGCAGGGCCCTGGGGAGTGCCCAGGGGTCTGTGGGCCCAGCACACATCAGTAGTGCCAAGGAGTCCACAGGATGGGGAACCTAGAGCCGTGAGGGGCATCTTGATGTGGTTACGGGCTCCTAGCCCACCACCCGCCTGTGGTGGCAGGCCGGCTGCAGGGAGCAGCAGGACCGAGGCCTTGTCTAGCACAGTGGCTCTGATGAATGTCTCCAGACCTTTCTGATTGTCCTGAATGGAGGGAGGGGCACAGGAGGCGACAACTGTCGTACAAGTCAGCAGTGCTAGCCTCTAGCCAAATGCCCCACAGTGCAGAGTATGGCCTCCGTTACAGAGGGCACCCATCAGAGAAACAAGGCCGAGCAGACTGAGGTGGACAGGCTCAGCCTGCCCCGTGGCTCCTGCATTGCAGGCATGTGTCCCCACCGGGAGCCAACTCCAGGCTGCGGCCAACTGTGGCGAGGGCAGGACTGTCCCTAATGCAGAGACTGAGAGACAACGAGCCCAGAGCTGACCCAGCCTTCTCGGGCCCTGCCTCTGCCCCAGCCCCTGCCTCCAACTCATTTGGATCCCTTGGGAGCCACCTGACTGCCTGGTCTTTGTCCTCTGCGTCAACTTCTAAGGTAGAGAGCAACTGAGTCTTAAATGGAGCACATTGTCCCTGGAGGCTGTGGGCACCAGGACGCTTCAGGGCTGGCAAGTCAGAAGCTAGAAGTCCTCATGGGCAGGGCTCAGGTCCACCCTCTGGGCCTGTCCGAACATCAGGAAGGTACCCAGCCCCAGGTTGCTGATGACGGCCACCAGGTTAAACACACAAGTCCAGGAGCCCGTGGCTTCAATCAGGTAGCCTCCCAGACACACGCCCACCACACCTGGACCAAAGACAGGCACGGGCAGGCTGAGTGCCTGCGGGGCAGGGGCAGGGAGGAGCTGGGGCAAATGGGCCCTGGCACCCCGTGGACCCCAGGGTAATTTCAGACATCTGAATTACTGGGCCAAGCTCAGACTCCCAGGGTTTCAGAGGGAAGAAGCATCATAGACCATTGAAAATCACCCCAAATGGGCCCCGCCACTCTGAGTCCCTCCAGAGGGAGATGGAGCAACAGGTGGGTGGCAGGAGGGGCTGAGGTGGAGAGTGATTCTGGTGACCTGGGGAACTCAGAAGAGGCAGGGAGCGTCCGAGGGTCCCTAACCTCCTGGATCTGACTTCCGCCTGGGCTCCCTGCCATCGGCCAAGCAGACACCTCAGAAGGCCGCTGTGCCATCTCCTGGGCCAGCTCTGGGGTTCGGGCCCCCCTCCCCCGCTGACACCCTTCCAAGTGCCACACCTCACCCACAGGACTGGAGGAGCCCGGTGGGGATGCAGGCCCCCACCCAGCCCCTCGCTAGTTCCCCAGCGGGTCCAAAGGGCAGAAGACCGCTGGGCACAGAGGCCCACACCTCACCTGCCAAGGCCCCTGCCGTGTTGGCCACACCTGTGAACAGGCCAGAGAGACAATAAGGACACCAGAGAATGCCCGCTGTGGCTCGCACTGCCCGCCCACCTGGGGGCAGCCCCGCTGGCCATGGCTGCGGTGAGCAGCAACCTCACCAAACAGAAAGCCGGCGCAGGACGGGGCCAGGTCCTGGATGTTAACAGAGATCCCGCTGTGAGAAATGGGAAAGAAGGCAGTGAGGTGCCACAGGGCCTGGTGATCCCTGTACAGCTAGAAAGAGCTGGTGGAGCAAGAGAGGGTGCCCCACCCGGCTCTCCCCACTCCCAACAGAAGCAGAGCCGGAAGGTACTCCTGAGACCAGACCCGCGGCGGGAAAAGCATGTTTGCAGCGCACACATGCAGACCCATTTGCTGCTGGCTGATTTGAATGACACTGCACTGCTGGTTGTTAGAGCAACTCCCTGAGATGTTTAGAGGCAGCTGCTAGTGATCAGGTGGGGAAGATACAGAATCAGAGGAAAGATGTGGAGAGCAGTGGGCAGTGGGCTTGCTGTGCCTGGGGACAAGGCTGCTGTTTAGCGGAGAGCCTCTCCCCTGCCGCACCTCCAGCAGCCGTCTTCCTTCCTCCCCAGCCCCTCCACCCGCCCTTGGGAGCTCCTGGTATGCAGGGCTGGGCTGCACCAGTTGGATACTCAGATCAGCTGTGCTGAGTGACCACTCACAAGCCCCTGGGCCGGGGTGTACCAAGGCCTGGGGCACCCTGGCAGCACAGGTGGACGGGGCAGGGGGCCTTTACCTGTGGTTGAAGGTCTGGAGGCCGATGGAGGCCGACGCGAAGACCACGGCCTTGAGAAAGCTGGACGTGTGGCCCAGACACAGTGCGAAAATGCTCGACAGGCCAAGGCCCATCACCTGTGGGCAAGAGGGCTGACGAAGGGCACCGGGGCCCGGCCCGGCCCCACCCGTGGCTGCCCGGGTGTGCTGAGCAGTGGCTCCTGGACTGGGCCCTCCCCAGAGGATGCCAGGGATGAGGACCCCACAGATGAGCTCTGCTCATGGAGCTGGAGGGGAGAGGCCCAGCCAGGTACAGAGAGCCATGCTGGAGCTCAGGGAGGGACCTCGTCACCACCCCGGTCCCAGGACACCCTTCGGCACCCGCCTACACTGGCCTGGGCAGCTTGGCCTTTGATGCTCAGTCAGCAGGCCAGGGAAGCAACCCAGCTCTGAGGGTGTGAGGGCTGCTCCTGCTGCAGTGGCGGCTTTCTCGGCTCCTGACCCTGACCTTGGCCTGGTCCCCAAAATCAGGTGATTTGAGACCACAACCCTTGGGTCCCGGGACACCAGAAAAAGCCTGGAACGATTTTCCTACCTGCATGAACTTCCGCACGGTAATGGCTCTGTAACCTGAGCAGGGAGACAGACCCAGGGTGGGTCCCCATTAGCCCACTGGGCTGTCCCAAAAAGGGTACCATCTGCACAGCCACGGGGTAGGGGCAGGGAGGAGGAGGGGTGGACAGGGGCCAGGCTTGAGGCTCCAGGTGGGGGCATCTCCTGCCATGGGTGAGCTAGCTCTGCTCGCAGTGTGCACATTAGAGGTTCCTATGCCCACGGTCCGGACAGAAAGTTAAGAAGGATGGGCGTGTGGATGGTCACCAAGGGGCCAACCATCAGGCAGGTGAGCACTGCTCCCTCTTTAAGTTTTCAACTTTTTCCACAATGAATGTTATTACTTTTTCCCTTTACTTTTCTTTTCTTTTCTTTTTTTTTTTTTTGTCTTTTTGAGACAGGGTCTCACTATGCAGTTCAGGCTGGCCTCAAACTCACACCAATCCTTCTGCCTCAACCTCCCAAGTGATGGCATGCAACACCACGCCTGGCTCCCTTTGCTTGCCTCTCTTTGTTTCTTTGTTTCTTTCTTTGTTTCTTTGTTTCTTTCTTTCTAGGTCTTAGGGATGGAATCTAGGTATACTCTACTACTGAGCTGCATCCCCAGCCTTTTTTTATTTTCTATTTTAAGACAGAGTCTCCCTAAGTTGCCAAGGTGGAACTCAAACTTTTTTTAGGCAGGGGGACTCAAACTTGTGATCCACAGCCTTTCTCGGGTCTGGGGTTCCAGGGGTTGGTGCGCGCCTGCCTCGTGATGCTGTGCTGAGGAAAAACACCACAGTCTGAGAATGGGCACGGGTCTGAGGACTTTGCCCTGGGTGTGCCGTGTGCTGCCGGAAGTGCGTGGGGAGCTCAAGGTGAGCACGACCTCCTCAGGGCTCTGGGGATTCAAGAGCAAATCTGGGCACATGCGGCCTCTGACTACGGTGTGCCTCCCTCGCCTGCAGAGGCCCAGGGGCTCAGCTGGCCCATGGGAAAGAGCTCCAGAGCCACTGTGAGACCGCGCTGCATCCACCCCACCCTTTAGTGGGGAGCCCAAGCCTGAGGAAGAAGGGGCTATATCCACCCCCAAGCTGGCAGGAAGGTGGGGTCCCTCTCCGTCATAGCATGGCCTGGGGGAGGGCACCGCTAGCCCACACTCACCCTGACTGATGAGCTGGTCAGAGAGAAACCCGCTGAATAGACTGGCAGGAATCGCGACCAGCCAGGGCACCACGTTGAAGACCCAGCCCTGCAGGGAGGTGCTCGGCTCAGAGGGGGCCCTGGAGGGGAGGACGTGCGGGCAAGGCAGCCACCCCAGTCTCCTGCTGCCCAGGGTCTCTGCCTGACCACTGGCTCGCCCGAGGGCAGAGGGAGCTGGAGAGGGCGGGCTCTGTCAGGCCATGGCCACCTGGACCATCACCGCCCCTGGGGAGTGCCAGCCCCATGGTGGCTTTTGCAGCCTGAATTCCCCACACGATGACTGGGCAGGGCCAGAGCGGGGCAGCGTTCACCCTAGGAATGTGCAGCCCGGAGGATTCTGGCCACCACACCAGGAGGAGGGTGGCTGCCTGCCTGGGTGGAGGAGCCTGGCCAAGACAAATGATGCTCTGTGCACACCCCAGCCACGCTGAAACCCTCCTCAGGAATGGCATCAAAAGATGCTCCCCGGGCCAAAGCCAGGCTCTGCCGTGCAGCAGGTCAGGACCCTGGGCAGGGAAAGCTGCAGTGTCACAAAAAAGCCCAAGGCTTCCAAGCCAACACCCACTGCTGAATGGGAACAAAGTCCTCACGAAGTCTGGGGCCTGTAGGGTGTCAGAACTACCCCAGAGCCAAAGATTCCTCCAGCTGCAAGTGGGGGACCAAAGGGCTTCCCACAATGCAGCTCTCCTGACACTGCGTGAGCCCCGGCAGAATGACACACCTTGGAGTGGGGGAAGGTCTCCTTGAAGAAGGTGGGCAGCCATGAGAGGAGGATGAAGAAGGAACACGCCGAAGATAGCTGGGAGCAGATGGCCGCCCTGCATGGGGTACCGGGCTCAGAGCTCCACCTGTGCAAACCATCCTCCCGGCAGGTCATACCTGTGGGAGCTACTCACCCCTTCCCCTTGGGCACCAAAGTCCCATGCCCCTGCAGCCCCCATACTCTGCTTGGCCACTCTAGCCCTGGCTCACCAGACCGAAGGCTTCCTGAAGAGCTGTCTCCAGGGCACTTTGGAGGGCCTGACCAGGGGCAAGCCTTGCACCAGGACGCCCAGGGCCAGGATGCGGTCTGAGGGCACAAGTACATTCAAAGCAATAGCTCTCAGGATGGGGTGACCCCACTGCCCAAGCCTGACACCAGCCCCTGTGTGTGTGGGTGCTCCAGAGGATCAGGACATGCCTCACTGCCCCTCTCACTAAAGAGCCCCTAACAATCAGCATCACCCTTGGGATGAGCTCTCTCCTGGTCACCCGAGGTCTCAGGGGCCCCTGCCACCCGCTTTTGCCTTTGCCGGCTGGTCTCCTGCCTGCCTTAGTCCCCACCCCAGGGATCTGTGCCTTAGTCCCCACCATGGGGCTCTGCGGATTGGCTTGGACAGCTATGTAGGCTGAGAGCTCAGTCCTCAATGGTTTTTCTCAGCTGCAGCCTTGAGGACTGTTTCAAACCGATCACAGCCACAGCCCCAGGGCTCTGCGAGGACTCTGCTCTACAACGTTGGGTGGCTCCTGCGAGGGCAGGATGCTCCAGGACCAGCCCAAGAGACCACAGTTACCTTTTCCACTCAGCAGGTACCTGTGCACATAACACACCCAGAGCAAGGTGAGGCCACCCGAGAAGTAAAAGACGCTCTGCCAGCCGCCCCAGTCCAGGAGTAGGGAGCCCACGGAGCCCGTCACCAGTGTTCTAGAGGGACAGGGAGGAGGTGGCCATGACCCTCGCCGGTTCTCCACCAGCAGGGGCGCCCTAGGGCATCCTCATCGCCTTGGAAGCAGCTGTTGGAAGTCTCCAACCCAGCATGCTTTACTAATGATTCCCAGGGTTCAGAAGAGATTTTCTACCTTGGGGACAGGAGTCAGGGACCCAAGTTATTTTTAATTTCTTGTTTTTAAGCTTTCAGATTGGCCCACAAATTGTTATGTGGATCTTTTGAATGAAAAACAAAAACAAAAATGCAGTGAGAAGGAAAAGTGACTTAAAACACCAAAGTGAAATCTATAGGGGCTAGGGATATAGCTCAGTGGCATAAGCGCTTGCCTGGCAAGCCTGAGGTCATGAGTTTGATTCCTGGTACCAGAAAGAAAGAAAGAAAGAAATCTACATATTTTGATTTCCTTGCTTCATGTGTCATGGAGGACAAAATTTCAAAATGATCTCTACGTGCAAAACACCAATCCCACCCACCTAACAGGCTTAACCTCCCCATGTCCTGAGGGTCCTATCGTCCCCCCAGGGTACCCCATCTCCTGCTGAGACTCAGGAACAAGGAATAGTTACTGCCCTGGCAAAGAGAGAGAATACTAGACCCTGGTGTGGAGGGCAAGCCTCCTCCCTCTTCCTGAGCCCCTCCCCACCCCGAAAGGCAGCGCAGAATCTGGGGGGCAGCCTGTCTTGGGCGGTGCACCCTGTGCCCCTCGGTGCTCCACACAGAACCTTCTCTGCTCTACACTCTATGGCTCGATGAAGCACAGGCCACCAGGTGGGATGGGAGTACAGATGAACCAGACTGTTCTGTCCTAGGAGTTCAGCCCCTCGTGTTATCTGACATTCATGCTGCACTAGGTGTGCCGTATTTTTATTGCTAAGTGGAGTCACCCTGCTCTTGCCCAAGGGCTGCTCCTTGTCCACTCTGCTGCTCTGATGCCTGCCTTGGCTGAACTAACCGAGGGCCCGATCCTGGGGTCAGAGAGCTGGTCTGACAGCCCAGCATGAGTCCACTTGCAGCAACAGCAAGCAGCTTTTCTTCCAGCCTGACCATGGAGAGGGTGCCGCAGCCTGAAGCCTGGTACTCCCTGAAGGTGGGCTCAGGAAAGGCAAGTCTGAGGGCACCAGGCTCAGGGCTGCAGAATCTCAGGTGGGGATGAGAGCAGAGGGTGGCATGGCCTCAGGTTCCACTGGCACACATGAGAGGGAACTGTCTGGAGCGGCTGCGGCCCAACCTGCACAGCAAAGCCCCTGCCTGCCTCACCTGCTGCCCCGCGAAAGGCAGAAGCATGTATGGAAGAAATACTCTGCACAGGCCCTGGGGGGTGACCTGGGGGCCAAACCCCAGCCCTACTGGCTGCAACGGCTGCTCCTCAGGGGCTCACCCATGGGCCTCTCCTGCCCTCTGAGGCTGGGCCTTACCCAAACTGAGATCCAGCCCCCACGGTGCTGTAGGTGAAGGCCCGTTCACTCTCTGGCACACGCTGCGACAGCAGGCTGGTCAGGGCAGGGAAGTACACGCCTAGAACAAGGAGAACATCGTGGTCGCCTGAGTGCCCGGCAAGGGCCAGCAAGCACTGCTGAGGGCCACCTGCTGACAGCCAGGTCCTGGCTGCCTGCTCAAGTGAGGACTGTGATCCAGGAGGTCCATGGGCCCCTCGCATCACCCCACCAACCCTGGGGATCAGCAGGGCTGGGCTTTTAATGACGCTTGCCTGAGGAACGAACTCGGTTTGCGTGAAAGCCACACAAGGTGGTACCACGAGAACAGTGGGAGAGGGACTTTTGCTCCCTAGCTGGCACACTTCCTGCACACCGGCTCCCAGGCTGCCCCCTGCACAGACACACCTGAACACCAGCCTCTAAGCCAGGCCTGGGTCCTCACACACCTCACAGCTGTGTGCTCACATGCAGATGACGCCTCCCCCAGGAGAGGGGTCATGATTGTACTTTTACAGATCAATCCCCTCCTAGAGTTTCTTTTGCACAGTGGGTTCCTCGACAGCCTAAGAGTTTGGAAATGACCTTGTGTCTTCCCATTCTAGAGGGTTCTTAGAACCCCATTCTGGAGGGGCTCTGAGGGCACCCCAGAGTGTGATGAGAACAACTTACAAAACTCACTGCCCGTGTATGCAGGGCATCAACCCTGCCCTCTGCATTACTTTTATCCATGATGGCAACATAGGAATTATCTGCCTGGGTCCCTCCCAGAACTGTCCTCTGACCGCTCAGAAGGCAGGAGGGCCTGTCCCTCAAGGGCCACTGTCTCAAGGGCCACCTGCCTCTCTCCAGTCGGCAAACGCTTACAATGCAGGAAAGCCACAGGGTCGGGAAGCCTCGAATGTCCCTGCTGCTGTGGATAACCTATGCAGAAATGGAGGGCACACCATCGTCCCTGCCACCTGTTATGCGGACCCCCCACCGGGCAGACTTCCAGCCAGAGGGTAGCAGGCGGGTACATGTGTACACACCCCACCTGGTGCCGGAGTCAGAGCCAGAAGCATGAGGGAAGTGACTTGAGGGCCCCTTACCTTGGAGCAGGCCCGTGAGAATGCGTGAGAAGGCCATGGAGACCAAGTGGGTGCTGCTGAGGTGAGCGAGCACGGGGGTGGCAACAGTGATGAGGCCCCAGGTGGAGGCTGACAGCAGGATGACCCTCTCGCCGCCCATGCTGGAGACACAGAGGGACGGGAGAGGCGGCTGTGCAGGCGGGTAGAGGGGCCCCACTCTTGCTCAGATCAGCCCTTTGAGTGGGCAGTCACCCCCATCCCCCTGTGGAGGAGGAGCCACCCCCAGAGCGCACCGGGAGATGCTCTCCTCACGCTGGGGCAATGGGATGTGGGGCAGGGCAGTTACCGGTCCCCAAGGTGGCCTCCTACAACCTGCGTCAGGCAGTAGCCCCAGAAGAAGCTGCTGAGCACAATGCCAGCCTCCTTCTTGTTCCAGCCGAAATCTTGACTCATGGCAACAGCGCAGACGGGCATGGTGACTCGCACGCAGTACAGCAGGCAGGTGCCCAGCAGCAGTATCCCGGTCCACGCCTGGCATTCAGGCCTGTGGCAGAGAGGGAAAGTCAGGCCCTGCAGGGCCCCCATGGGCAGCCCTGATGGCTGAAGGCCTCCAGGGGCCGGGGGACTTGGTCACACACAGGACCTTGAAAGGGCTAGGAATTGGGAGGACCTCTTTGGTGTTCGTTTTGTGGCTCCCAGGAGAACACAGGCGGGTACTAGACAAACAGCAGAGGCTGGAAACAGCCAGGACAGCCTGGAGCAGGGGCGGTGAGGTAAACAACGGAAGGTGCACAGGTACCCAGAGCCAAAGCCAGTGCTGTGTGCAGCCAGGACTGCAGCTGCGACACGCTCAGGACAGGCACCTGGAGTGTCCACATTCTCAAGCTTTCTGTGGACCACAGTGGCCCAGGAAGGCAGCCAGATAGGACTGACCACTCACAACCCACTGAGAGGTGGCAGCAGACCTAGAGGTGGCCAGGATCAGGTGTAGCAGGAGGGTCCAGAAGTGGCACAGTGAGCCCTAGAGGACCTGCAGGAAAGCCAGCAAGTCTTTGCAGCAAAGTCCTTGGGGCAGATGGGACTGACGGGCAGGGTAGGACAGGCCGTGCTGGAGAGGCCAGGACCCTGGAGGAACCTCGGCGGGGACAGCTCCTGGGTCAGCTCATTGTGCTGCTGTGTGGCTGCTGAAAGACCACAAGGGATGCACGTCAGCCAACAGCACGGCTTCCCTAGGATCTGCCGCTCCTCGGAAGCCTAGATGCCTCCAGCAGTTCTCGAGGTCTATCAAACTTGCAGATAAGCTTGGAGTTATTTATTTATTTATTTATTTATTTATTTGTTTGTTTTGGTATCAGGAATCGAACTCAGGACCTTGCACTTGCCAGGCAGGCGCTTTTGCCACTGAGCTATATCCCCGGCCGCTTGGAGCTATTTAAAATGAAATCTCTTATTTCCATATTGTGGCAGAGTGAATGACCATCCAAGCCAGACCCTAACCCCAGCCCTCTTGGGGTGACTTGGGACAGGTCTCTCTGCCTCCCCTGGCTGGGGTGTCTTGCACTGCCAAGGGACAGGAGGTGCAGCTGATGTGCACAGGAGGGGAAGGAGAGAGGCCCAGGAAGGTGGCTGGCACAACTGCCCTGTCCACCAGCCACAGGCCCTGCAGCCAGTTACTGCTCTGCTCACCACTCAAGCTGCAGAGCACCCTCGTGGGATCGGGATGGTAGCCCTCCGTGTCCTGGTACCCACGCATCTTTGAGATGAAGGAGGGCTAAGGAAGGACACGTGGACAGCTGACCACTTCCTGCTCCTGAGCAGCTGCTTCCTTTGGGAGAAGTCCTGGAATCCTGTGGGGTGCAGCACTAAGGACGCCGCCCCCACTGAGCTGGAGCGCTCTCACAGCCACGGACACCTCTAGCATGCCAGCCCTACCTGCGGCCTGTTGTGGGCACACCCTGCAGCTCTAGCCTTGAGTTCTTGGCCTGTTCTCACCCTCTACTTCCTGGCTCAGCACAAAACTGGGCAATAACTAGTTCAGGGGCTAACAAGTGACCAACCCTGCCAGGGCTCCAGGCATCTGCAGGATAGAGACTCCAAACATCCCCTTTGCAGGTCTGGCTGCTTAGAGCTCAGGACCACTGTGTCCAGGCCCAACACCCTGCCCATACCTTCCCTTCCTGTCTCCTGTCTCCCTCCAGCACTGCTGATGGCCACCCACGGGCTTGCTCCACAGACCCTCGGGAGCAGAGGCAGAGTCAGACTCTGCTAGCCTGAAATAACTAGTAGAAACCAAATAAAAAAGGGACCAAGAAGAGCCCAAAGGAGGCCAGGGGCTAGACACTGACAGACTCCCACACAGAGTACGAGGAGAGGTAAGTCGTGTGGTCCAGTTGAGGCAGCCAGACAGATGCTGCTGGAGCTGAACTTGAAGCTGGGTGACAGTATCAGGTCACTGCTCAGGCGACTGACAGGCTTAGTCTGTGATGGGCGCAGGAGGGGCAGCGGGGTGGGAAGGGGGCCCGGTGACTGGTGGCTAACGGGGCTAAGGTTGGGCAGGGGGCTTCCGCGCTTTCCACTCGCTTGTTCCTAAAATGTTGATGAGGCTTAGGTTGACACTGGCCCTGCCAGTCCGGCAGGGACCCTGGGGGAAACCTAAGCGGACCCTCTAGACATCACCCACTTCATTCTTAGTGACTTGCCTTCGGTTGACTGTAGAAATAACCAGTTTTGGAAGCAGCGATGACATGGATTCGAGGGGCAGGATGTGACTGTTGATGGTTTTGATTACGTGAGCACCGACCACCTGTGACTTTCTAACTTCGGATTGCCTCTCTCTGCCCCTCAGCCCGTGAATCTCCCCAAGCCCCGTCCAGGGGAGGTGGACACAGTCTTGCTCTCCCATACCGAGTTTTGCTGCATAATGAACCAACACTTTATCTTGCACAACTCACTATTTCAGTAATTGACATACTGCAAGATGAGCAAAATGGGCTGGGGTTGGCAACATCAGGATGTAATGAGAAGATCCCAAGGTCTCTGGCATCCTCCTCCTGAGGACCCACAGCCCCAGGGCAACCATGAGGAAACCCAGACACCAGGGAAGCGCAGCACGGAGGCCTGGGACTGTCAAGTCAGCAGCAGCAAGGACCCACGACAGCCCTGGAGATGTAACCACTAAACGCCAGGGGGTCTGGATGGGACAACAGGAGAAGCTGAGGAAGCCCGAGGGACAGTGGTCTGGGCTGATGATGACACATCAATGTCAGCTTATCGATGGTAGCAAGTTCTACTCATTTAAAATGTTAAAAGGGAACACAGGGTGGGGGTTCAGTAACTCTGTGTACTATCTACAGTGATTCTGAAACACACAGTTTGGTTTTTTAAATTAAAAAAATAGAGTGATTCAGCACAGTCCATGTGGTGGGAGATGTGAGAAGTAGGGGCGTCTTGGGAGGCAGGTGCTTTCTCCTGTAGGGCCGAGCACGGCTATGCCACGTAGGGGGTACACTCGGAGCTCACTGCCTCTCAGGACCTGGGGTCCCCAAGTGCTGGTCATTTTTATGGAATCAGAGGTCACGGCACTGGGTAGGCAGTCAGGCAGGGAGTGGTGAACCTCCGGCCAGCAAGGACCCAGGTGGGTATGATCACTCTGAGCTGAGGGCGGGCGGGGGGGGGGGGGCGCAAACCCACTGGCTGAACCGAGGCTCTCTGTCACGCTGAGGGTGCATGTATGTGTTAGGTCCATCCTGGCTCTTCCTCGGCTCATCAGGAACTGGGGTTCTGAGCCCTCTCCAGTCTGAAAGTGACACGGGACCCTGGGGCTACTCCTGCCCGGTCTCAGGCACCCAAATCTCCTTTGGGGAACTACCCTTGAACATGACAAAACCTTGCCCTGCAAGAGCCCCCACGCTGCACCTGGTTCCTGTCTTCCATTCCTCGTTGGGACACTGTCCTAAGCAAACACTGCCCCTGGTTTACTGGGAACACAGGGTGACAGTCCAAACTGCCGCCACCCAGCCAGCCTGCCCAGCCCCGTCCTGCAGTCCTGCCTGGCCTCGAGCCCGTCCAGGGTGTGCTCTCTGTCAACACACACAAGGAGTTTGGATACACAGGACTGCACCGGGGCGTAGGAGTGACACTCGTAACTTCCCACTAAAAGCCACACGGTCCAAAGGTGCCTTGAAAAAGGAGCTTTAGCCGTGCGTGGTGGTGCACGCCTGCTATTCCAGCTGAGGCTGGAGGATCGCCCGGGCTATAGTGAGTTCAAGACCAGCCTGAACTACACAGAGAGGCCCTGTCTCAAAAGGAAAAAAAAGTTCTTTATTCCTTTAGGCAGTCAAAGCAGCAATGGGTCACCTCCACCAGAAAGGAGTCATGGATCTGTCTAGACTGCTACCCCTCCCTAAGTGCCTATACAAAAGCCTGACCCTGCTCTTCTATGTGAGGGAGGCCAGCTCGTTTCAGTGAAGCCAGCTGGGATTCCCACCTCCACCAAAAGGCCAGCATAGTGCGGAGAATGCAGTGCTGCTTGGTTCCTCGGTGGGCACAGGACATCAAGAGAAGCCAGCAGCTACTGGTCCACTGGTAACCCTGATGAAGCTACCTGGCAGAAAGGCCTGCAGGAGCCACAGGTTAAGGCCATGCCTGCTTCCTCCCTAGGGCCTGGAGGCAGGAGAGACACACACAAGCTCCACAGCTGCTGAGGACACAGAGCTAGGAAACCTGGCTGCAGGGGAAAGACAGGGCCAGATGCTAGAGGGTGATCTGGACCCCAGGCCCAGACTGCCCCATCTTGCTTGGGGCAGGAGCACTTGACAAGATCCACTACCCACTGGCAACACTCCCAGTGTGGCAAGGTACTTCCTGTGAGCCTTCTGCAGCCTTTCGCTTCCTGTAGACAGCCTTCAGAAGCAGCCACGGCTGAGCAAACAGGTGTCATGTGGTCCTAGTTCAAAGCAGGAACATGTATGGGCCCCAGGAGCCAAGTGACCAGCAGCCTCTCCCAAATTCTGCCCCCAGTTCTCACCAGCCAATGTGGTTTGCAGAGATCTGCCTCCCTATCACACAGGGCTCTCAGAGAGAGCACCCGGTGCTGTGATTATTGCCCACGAGTGGGCTGTGGATGGCCTCAACCCCACCAGGCCCGAGTTCCTGCAACCACCCTGCCAAAGCACGGGGAGAAGTGACGTGGTGAGTGCTGGAGCCACTGCACTGCGACCTGCAGTAGCTTTCGGAAGGGTCTACAGGCCTTGGCTCTGGCCAGGCGGAGGCACCTGCATAAACACAGGGTGGGGCCCCTGATCTGGGCACACCCAAGGACACCTTCTTCTTCTAATTGGCACTGGTGGTTCCCCACATTCCTGTGGTTCAGTCTCTCCCAAGGCCCTGTCCTCACAGGGCTTCTTGAGCTCCTGCTGTGCTTTCATTTGGCCAACATCAAATGGGTCCTCGGGCCCTCCCCCGTCTCCTCCTCCTCCTAGCACCTCCAAGGCAGGTTCTCGGGGCTCTCAGTTGCCTCAGGGACTCACAGGCCCTGCCTCTGATCCAGCACCTTGGTGGAGGGGCTTCAGCCTACAGAATGGGTGGGTGGAGGGACCCTCTGGCCAGCTCCATCCTGGCTTGTGCCCGGTTACCTGCCTATGGAGCAGTAGGGGTAGTGGAACCAAAACACAAATGGGCTGGTGACTGCCAGCCTGATCCCCATTTAGGGAGGCTGGCAGTGAACTTGTCCCTGAGTGTGTCTTTGTGGGTGATCCTGAGTTGCTACTCACTGCACTGAGCTGCGAGGTGCCCCCTGCCGGGACTCTGAGGACCCTGCCTGCAAGACTCCCAGGGTCCACCAGCTGGGAGTGGGGTTCAGGGGCCACTTTCCAGGCTTTGAGACTTAGTAGTGGGAGGAGGGTCTCCCACCAGGTCACAGCTGTGTCCTTCCTCACTGGGGCTGCCACTTCCACAGCCACTGCCACAGAGGAATGTGCCAGCCTTGGGGAGCGCGAAGCTGGCCCACCGCAGCGGGGATAGAGCAGCAGCCTCCAGGCCTGCTTTCCACCAAGCTGCCCACCAGGGGGCAGTACCTCAGCTCCCTCCCCAAAGACCCACCCGACCCCCGACCCCCCTCCACCCCAGGCCCCCACCCCTTCCTCCCTGCCCCACCTGGACCACTGGGCATCCTCAGCTGTGTCCCTGCCGGCCTGGTCTGCGGATGGCTGCATCAGGTTGTGGCGCCGGGACAGTGTGGCACAGCCTGTCTCAATGCTCTGCCCTCCCGCCTCCTGCTAGGCCCACCCACCAGGCAGCACCGCCCAAGTCCACGTGTCAGTCCCTGCAGCACTTCCTCTGGCCTCTGTCTGGTACTCCCAGGACGAGTCCCCCGCTACCCACACACTTGGGTCCTGCCTCTGTGACATCCGGGGAAGGCTACAGGGACCACCTACCGTCCCACAGGAAGGATGGCTGGCCCTGCCACAGCGTCTGAGGTTTACCCGGGGATTTCTTGGCTTTGAAGGACCCAGTCCCTCCACACACTACCAACAGACCTTGAGCAAGATGGGGGCCTCTGTTTTTTTTTTTTTTTTTTTTTGGTCTTTTTCGGGTACCAGGAATCAAACTCACGATCTTGCACTTGCTAGACAGGTGGGGTGCTGCTGAGCTAAATCCCCAGCCCCTGCGGGCCTCTGTTCTTGTTTACAAACTGGGGAATGAAGGAAGTCTCCACTGGCCTATGCTGATCTAATGAAAATTAGGGATAAATCCATTACCAAGTGCAAAGACAGTAAAATTTAGGGCAACTAATTTTTTAAATGGATGTTTTGGGGCAGGCTCTACCCCTAGGACCCCAAACTGGGCTGATGAGAGCTACGTGATTCAGGTGCTAGTCAGTGTCCACACCATAGATGCCTGCTGACAGGTGTGAAGGTGGTCACTGGCCTGAGCTCATAGGCAAAGGTGCACTAAGTGCCAGCTGCAAGCTAAGCTCCAGGCTTGAGTCAGGGATCATGGGATGGGGTTGGAACGAATTCAGAGTCAAACATAGAGCAGCTGCACAGGACACCGGCAATGTACACAGAAGGACTTGCCCAGCAGGGGAAGGCTGTGAGCATCCAGTCACGTGCACCTGGAGGCCGCAGAGGCTCCGTCTACCCCTCACCTCCAACTCCACCCAAAGTTTCCCTCTACACAGTGGCCAGAGGCCGACTAAAAATTCAAACCTGCAAAACTTCTCACTGCATTTAAGAACAGAACCCTAGATTCACTCAGCACCCTGACCCTTCTGCACCCTTAACTGCTCAGCCCACTGCAGGCCCTTGGCATGATGTTTCCAGGTCTGCACTGCCCTGCCCCACATACTTGTTGAACAGTGTTAAAAAAACTAGGACCTGCAGCTGGCATGTAGCTCAGTGGTAGAGTATGTGCTTAGCATGTACAAGGCCCTGGGTTTAATCTTTAGGACTGAAAAAAAAATAGGACCTAAAACCAGGTCACTCTTCCATCCATATCAGATGTTCAATCGACTACAAAAGTGTTGGGAGAAGAAGCTTACTTCTGTAGCTCTAGCCCAGGCATAGGAAAGTTTGGGAATGTTCCTAAACTTATGGCCAATAATACGTTCATCCATTACATGAAGATCTTTGATAAAGATCCAAAATCACATTTGAGTGGACTTTTGTCATTCCTTCTAGCTGATGGCCTAGGATAGGTGAACAAACGGAGAGAATGTTATTTCAAAGAGGTTTGGCTGGGGAGGGGACATCCAAGACACCCAAGAGGTCTGCATGGGATGGTGGGCACTTAGCTAAGGACAAAGGCCTGGACAGTGGGTGGACACCCACAGAGTTGCCGATGAAGGAGAAAAGCAGGAAGTGCAGCCAAGGGCACCCACCTCAGAGGTCTAAGTCAGGAGCCTCCAGGGGCACAGGATCACCCTGGGGCTTCTGTGCACACAGCTCAAGGTTAGCCAGGACAAGGGAGACCCTGGGGCAAGGGTAATTAAAGGACCTAGGCTGCAGATGTAGGTGAGGGGACATCTGGGGAGAGACAAACTTGCCCAGGCGTCTGCAAAGGTATAGGTGACGTGGAAGGAGGCCCAGGTCTTGCAGGCAGATGGGTGCTGGCAGTGCCAAGAGGACAGTTCCCCAAGTTTCTAGTTGACTCTGTGAGTTGCCTTTTACCTTCATTTAACTTGCAGTTTAGGGTGGAAAATTATACGCAGAGGATGAGAGTGGACAGGTAACACTTGAGTTTCTGGGACATAGGGTGCCCTTTGTGACAGCTGTCACAGCCTGTTGTCCAGGGACCTGCTGCTGCTTGTCTATTCTGACTTCAGGGGGGCCCCACCCACTTCACACTGCTCTGCCTCAGTACCCCAAGTGCTGCTGCAGCGAGACACCTGTGTGTTTCCTCTAGGTAACTCACACCTCACTGTTTTCATCAATACCCTTTCTGTCAGCCTCCATCACCACCCTCCAGGGAAGGATGGGTCCAGATGACACAGTCTATGGACAAAGGCAAACCCCACGTCGGGCCAGGGCCGCTCTCCTGTACCCCACTTAATCTCTACCTCCTTCCCGGCCCATCATGTAAAATATGAAGATGAGAAGTCCAAATTAAGCAGAATGAAGCATTAACATTTTTTTCCAGTCACTGACAGGCAACTAAAGAAGTAAGATCTCGGTGCTGGACAAAACTTGCATGCAGTGATCACAACGAGGGGGTCTAACTCATGGGCTGAACACTAACGGCAGAGAAAGAACTGGGACGATGAGCTACACAACTCCACTGGAAACCAGGATAGCTGATGTGACAGCTGTGTGACACAGGCTCTGCAGGTGGAACAATCCTCCAACCTCTGGACGGATCCTTCTTTTCAAGGTGCTGGTGACTTCAGTTTGAATCTTCTAAACACTAGTTAAGACTTCTAACTGGAATGCTCGGAGATACAGCCAGATGGTCTGCAGCCAAGCAGGGTCTGAAGTCTGTGTGGCAGACAGCCCTCGACACTCTGGCTGGTCACCACCAACTCTGCCCCCAGCCCTCCGTGACCCTCCGTATCAGTGCTCAATGACAGGTCACTTGCTTCCCGTCTAGAAGCCAGCTGCGAAATGATCACAGTGCCGGACGCCTGGCCCCCAGGGAGAGGCAACCCGGTATAAGCAAGGCCTGTGGACTCATCTGCAGGCAGGGAGAGTCACAGCTGGGTGGAGTCTGTCTGCTGGGCACTGCTCCCTGGACCCTCGTGTGTCCATTCAGCCTCTGGATACAGACAATCACAGACGGCACAGTGCACAACTACACTCTAGTGGTTTCTTCTCTGAAGCTCCAAGCGCTGGTCTTGAGTCTCCCACTGAACGTGCAATGGTTGGGCAGGTGAGCTTGCAGTGCGACCTGCATATATAAAATTCACCCCCCAGGGGACATATGTGGACAGAGTCCATCCACCTTCAGCAGTTACTTCTCTCACTTGCAGCCAGATGCAGAGTCTGTAGCCCCAAAAGACACTTTCTCTTCTGTGTTGTGGTCATGCTGGACCCTAAATCTGTCCTTCCAAATGGACACATCAACAAGCCACAGACGACCAGTGGCCCACATTCTCCAGATCTGTGTCTTATCTCCAGTGCCACACTGAGCACCTGATGTCACTTAATGGGTGTGCAGCCCGGGCTCACTACCACCAGGGCCATCCAGTGCCTTCCAGGTCAAGCACCGGTCCAACATTCCACCCACAGAAGAACAGGCCTACAGAAGCCACCAAAGTGAGTCACACCAAGGGCCATTCCTACATACTTTTCTACTTTTACATAAATAAAGGTCACAAGCAAGGATGGCATTCCATCCTAGAGACAGAGCACCCAACAGGCAGGTCACATATCAAGGAACTGTGGTCCTTGAGCCTCTTCAACTGCTGTGCAGGGCTCATTCCCAGGCCCCAGTGGCAAAGAGCACTGTGAGTGACAGCACAGCCTTCTGCAAGCAAAGTGAGGGCAAGGGCATGATGACATCACAACCACTCCCAAGATGTCGTGTCACACAAGGACAGTGATGCTCTATGCTCTATAAATACTAGGCATGGGACACCAAACCAGGCCCCCAGTGCTCAGGCCCACAACATTGTCTTCTGCGTACTTCTCCATCAGGATCTCCTTGGCAGCTGAGCCCCTTCTGCAAAGGCTGAAAAGCATGGGAACCACTGAGGCAGGGGCCCTGGCTGATGGCACAGAAGCCCCTTGCTTTTTGAATTTGGAGATTTTCCAGTAAAAATATAATGTTGGAGGGCTGCGGAGGTAGCTCAGTGATACAGCACCTGCCTCCCAAACACAAGGTCCTGGGTTCAATTCCCAGTACTCCCCACCAAAACAGTAATAATATTGGAGTGCGAACAGATCAAAACTGAAGTAGAGTTACATAGAACTGAGGTTTCTACCCTTCCAATTCTAATATACCAACTTGCAATAAAAAATGTGCTAGCGTAGTATTCCTATGTTCTTATCAATATATCTTTCTGGAGGAAAAAAAGACCTTTGAGATGACCGCTCTAGAAAAGTATGAAAACTTTTACTATCAAGAACAGGCTACAAGCTGGGTGTGGTGGTGCACACCTGTAATCCCAGCACTTGGGAGGCTGAGGCAAGAGGATCCTTCCGAGTTCAGGACCAGCTTGAGCTACAAAGTGAAATTAAGGCCAGCCTAAACTGCAGAGACTCTGTCTCAAAAAAAAAAAAAAAAAAGAACAGGCTACAAAAGCAGCTATTCTGCACTTCTGGGAAGATACTGGGGAAAGGGCACACAAACACCTCCCTGGAATTACAGAATCAAAAGTACCCAATAGTACTCTAGCACGCTGTGACTTTACACAACTAATGCTGACAATTCAACTTACTACACATCTGAAAAAAGCCAATATGTGTCTGAAACAAAGATGTACCCACTATAACAACAAAACCAAGGCAGCAAAATACAACACATCAACAAAGCAGCAATGAGTAAAGGCTAGTGACAACAGGCTGTATCACACCATGGTGCCCTACTATACACAACTGAATTTCAGACAGGCCACTGTCACCTGACATTTTTAATCTGGTCTTTCGTTCATGCTGACTGGACAGCAACAACCTAGAAGGCAACCTTGTGCCACATCCTAAAGACATGTAAGTGTCTTTATCAGAAAGGATCTAAGAATCTTTCTAGGACCTTGCTTCCTCCACTCTCCAAAGCTAACACACAGTACACGACAGGAGGAAATGAAGACATTACATTGCCTTAGGAAAATGCTAAGGATGCCCCCTGGAGTCAATGGACTCTGATTTGCAGTTTCTGTGCACCTAGGGCCACCAGTCTTTAGCCATGTGCTACAGAGACTTTGGTCTCCAACATTAGCCCCAACCAACATATTTACCTCTCAGAGAACCTGAAAATAATTCAAGTAGCAAAAAAAAGTTCTCATTTGTTTTGCAGCAATTCCCATGCTTCAGAAAGTTACAAACTAGGGATTTTTCCTCACACAGCTTTATGATATAGAAAGAGAATACTAGAATATTCTTAAATTCCATTTATTTAAGGCACTTTGCACCAGAACGTGTAGTAAACTAC